CAGGGTAATGTGACACCCCACGTCAGTCTGTGCATTTTCACGTAGACTCAGTGGGGGGGGGGAGCCTCATCTGAGTGCCGTTGTGCGTGAGACACAGTCGTTCTGAAGCCGACTTTGACTCTTTCAGAAGGACCTGCGGACCCCAGATGTGGTCATTGGCGCAGACACCATCGTGGTGAGTCCCCTCAGCTTTCCCCATCTACCTGGCGCCCAGTCCCTGCCCCCCCCAACTCCCACCCACCCACCTGCCTGGCCTTTCTGTGCAGATCCACTGTTTCTGTGTCCCGGGCATCATGGGTTACAGGCCTAAGAGGTGTGAGGGAGATGGGGGTGGTGGGGTCAGAAGAGGCGTCGGATACCCCAGAACTGAAGTTGTGGTCAGTTGATAGCCGCCGTGTGGGTGCTGAGATTCGAACCCGGGCCTTCGCCAGGAGTGGCCAGTGCTCTCTACCCCTGAGCCCTCCCTCCTGGTCCTCTCCACCTGTTATTTGGCGCAGGGTGGCTCTCTGCACCTGGACTCACAACTGGTCTACACTGGCTTCCCAGACCCCGGGATCTGCCGGTCTACACTGGCTTCCCAGACCCCGGGATCTGCCGGTCTACACTGGCTTCCCAGACCCCGGGATCCCCAGCCCTGCGTTTAGAGGAACATGCACAACACACAGCTGATTCTGTGGATCTCGGATCCGGCTGGACCCACCGCTTGTGGCCAGCAGTCTACAGAGCCGAGTTCCCACTGTGCGCAGCTCCCGTGAGCATCAGGAAGTGGGGCTGCTCTGCCGGCGAAGTTGAACATAACCCTTGTGCTCTGTTTACAGGCCCTGGAAGGATCCATTCTGGAGAAGCCAGTGGACAAGCAGGATGCTTACAGGATGCTGTCGAGGTGACATGAGCCTCGGGGAGCGAGTGCGTCCGTGGCTGAGGGATCGTGGGCTGAGGGGAGGGTGGGGCCTGTGCAGCACCGGCAGCTCGGGTGTGGGCTGGGCGGGGGAAGCTCAGAGCACACCCCTGATGACAGCCCAGGCTGTGCACCGTGTGTGGGACGTGAGCACGGCGGCAGTCACAGGAGCAGCACCGGGTGCGGGGACCGAGCTGGGGAAGGGTGTGTGCTGACCGCTGCCCCTTCGTCCTGCAGGCTGAGCGGGAAGGAGCACAGCGTGTTCACGGGCGTGGCCATCCTGAGCTGCCGCAGCTCTGGTAAGTCAGGTGTGTGCCTGGGGGACACGGGGCTAGATGGGGGACTAGGAGAGCATGGTGTGTGATAGGGGACATCGCCAGTGACCAGGTGGACGTCACGGGGGGAGTTGGGGCAGACGCCTGCAGGAAACCAGCCGGGCTGTTTGGGAGCTCAGGTTGCGTCTGTGACAGAAAGGGCTTGGTGTGTCTGGGCCACCGGCAGACACCAAACACAGGAAGCAGACCGTGATCCCCATCCCTCTGGCTTTGTTCTCAGATGGAGAGCTGCAAATGGACGTCTCTGAGTTCTACGAAGAAACGAAGGTGACATTCTCGGAGCTCTCCGAGGAGCTGGTCTGGGAATACATCCACAGCGGGGAGCCCATGTGAGTCCTGGGTACGTGGGGGAACGGGGGGGGGGGCTCAGCCGCGTGTAGGTGGGAGAAGACTATGCAGCCTCGAAAAGGGATGGTCTCTCCTCTGCCACATCGTGGTTGGAAGCGGAGCACGCTGTTGGGTGACGCACGCCGGGCTGGGGCACGGCTATACGTGATGTCACTCACACGTGGAACATGAAAACCTTGTAGCTTGAAAGTATGGTGCTTGAAAACGCACTTCATACCGAGCATGTGGCTCTGTGTGCTGAGTGGTTAGAGTGCTTGTAGCTCAGTTTGTAAAGTGGAGATTACAGTGTTTGTAGCTCAGTGGAAAGAGTGCTTGTAGGTGAGTGGCCAGAGTACCCCCTCCGCAGGGACAAGGCTGGCGGCTACGGCATCCAGGCGCTGGGCGGCATGCTGGTGGAGCGTGTCCACGGCGACTTCCTCAACGTGGTGGGCTTCCCGCTGAACCGCTTCTGCAAGGCGCTGGCGGCGCTCTACCCCGGCCCCAGCGACGACGCCATCCCTGCCGTGGACGCCTTCGAGGGCCTCGGCGACTCCGACGGGGGCGGCCGCGAGCCCCCGGGTGGCCACGCGCCCCTCGGTTGTCCCTCCGCACCCTTCGGAAGCGTCACCCTTGCCGCGGGCCCCCGGGCACCTCGCTGCAAAGCCGGCTCGGAACCGGAACCGGACCCGGACCCGCACGGTGCACACGTGGATGCCGGCGGCCTCCTGCGGCTCATAGACGGATTCAAGGCGTCCAAGGTACCAACACACCTGAGCTGGGAACGTGTGGCCGTGGTCTCTGTGTGGACCCCGCGGCTGGAGCCCTCAAGGCGCGTAGCGGGGTGCGGGGAGCCCCGCTGGCTGCGTGAGCCTCTCCATCCGTCCTGGGGCTCCTTCTCCCCGTGACTCCACCTCACACACCCATGGTGGCCCCCGTGTGCCGTGTGCTAGTGACGGTCCTGCGTGTCGCCCTGGACCCGGGGTCACACTCACCGCGGCCTCCGCGCAGCCCGCACCGTCCTGCAGAGCCGTGTGCACACAGCGGACCCGGGGACTTCGTGCCGGGCGGCAGGCGTGTTTGCGTTGGACGGTGCGGTGTCTGTGACACGGGTTCGTTTTTCTGCCCTGGTTGGCCCCCCGAGTCGGAGGCCCCCGGCACCCCAGCGGCCTGCGAACCCTAACCCTAACCCTCAGGGCGCCTTTTGTTCCCGCACAGGCGCTGTTCACCGCCTGCAAACTGCACGTGTTCGACGTGCTGAGCGACTCGGTGCCCCGCACGGCCGCCGACGTGGCCAGCAGGGTGGGCGCGTCCGCGTGCGGGACCCGGAGGCTGCTGGACGCCTGCGCTGCCCTGGGGCTGCTGCGCAAGACGGAGCTCGGTGAGCGGGAGCCGGACCTGTGCGCGTGCCACTGCGGGGCTCGGCCTGGGGGGCGGCTCTGGGGTCTCGGCTTCCTATGAGAAAAGCGGGCAGTGGTGAGACGGGCCGTGTGCAAAGGGCACAAGGGCCACGGCTCCCGGGCAGACGGGGACGGATGACCGGGACGATGAGGACGGTGACGGCCATGGGGACGATGATGGAGAGTGGATGATGGGGTCTGTGTGACAAGGACGTCAGCCTGTTCAAAGGGCACAAGGGCCACGGCTCCCGGGCAGACGGGGACGGATGACCGGGACGATGAGGACGGTGACGGCGATGGGGACGATGATGGCGGGTGGATGATGGGGTCTGTGTGACAAGGACGTCAGCCTGTTGTGCGTGGTCACAGAAAGATGTGCCTCAGCCCCGGCCGGGAGAGCCGTGTGCAGCGATCACCTGGATGGCCCTTGCTTTGTGCCTCTCTCCTGCCTGGTCTCCGAGTCCCGGGCAGCGTCAGCAGCAGGGGGCCTGGCTGGCTGTGTCAGGACGTGGCCTGCCGTCCCTGTTCCCAGGGTACACCTGCACAGCCGTGGCCAGCACCTACCTGGTGTCGGAGGGCGAGGACTCCCTGCACGGCCACATCCTGCACACCGATGAGCACACGTGGGCCGCCTTCACACACCTGGAGTCTGCCGTCCGCGAGGGAGCAGAGCCCTTCCAGGTGGGGGGGGGTCTGGGGGCGTGGCCAGAAGGGGAGGGAAGACCGCGGTGTTGGAAGTGGGTTCTAACCCGCTGTCCTCCACCCACGTCCTCCACCCCACGCTCTTCCCTGGCCTAGAGCCTCGGGAGGAAGGACAGAGCCCGGGTGGCACCTGCGGAGCTTCTGGTGTTGTGCGTGGTCACAGAAAGATGTGCCTCAGCCCCGGCCGGGAGAGCCGTGTGCAGCGATCACCTGGATGGCCCTTGCTTTGTGCCTCTCTCCTGCCTGGTCTCCGAGTCCCGGGCAGCGTCAGCAGCAGGGGGCCTGGCTGGCTGTGTCAGGACGTGGCCTGCCGTCCCTGTTCCCAGGGTACACCTGCACAGCCGTGGCCAGCACCTACCTGGTGTCGGAGGGCGAGGACTCCCTGCACGGCCACATCCTGCACACCGATGACCACACGTGGGCCGCCTTCACCCACCTGGAGTCTGCCGTCCGCGAGGGAGCAGAGCCGGGCCGCGGGGCCACGGGACGTCCCTTCCAGGTGGGGGGGGTCTGGGGGCGTGGCCAGGAGGGGAGGGAAGACCGCGGTGTTGGAAGTGGGTTCTGACCCGCTGTCCTCCACCCACGTCCTCCACCCCACGCTCTTCCCTGGCCTAGAGCCTCGGGAGGAAGGACAGAGCCCGGGTGGGACCTGCGGAGCTTCTGGCCCGGGAGGAGCCGCCCCGCCTGCCTGAGCCTCACCGAGAACCTCACCGCCCCCCACCCTCTCCGCCTCAGGCGCCCCATGGCCACCGGCAGAAGCAACTGTCGCATCTACGCAGCCTGCACGGGCTCAGCAAGCTGAGGGCCCACGGCGTCATCACGGCCTTCGACCTGTCCAGGTTCCGCTCGGCCTGCCACGTGGGAGGTGTGTACACTGGTGGGAGGCCCGTAACCTGGGAATCCGAGGCCGTCGGGTTCCACATGAGCCGCCGCCTCCAGAGGCCGCACCGTCGCTCAGTGTTCCTGAACACAGTGACCTAAACTGGGCAAGGCCGGCCTGGCGGCTCCCGGGTCCTTCAGCACAGACGAGGCTCGTGGGGCGGCCGCCTGTGGACACAGCCACGTCCTCCATGGCCGCGCCGAGCCCCACTTCCCCTGTGCGGCCCCCAGCCCGGTCTGTCCCTTCACACGGTGCACATGGGCGACACCCCCCAAAGGGCGCCATGGGCTCGAGATCCAGGACTTCTGCACTGCCAGCTTGCACTGTACACGCGACTCGTGCTTCCTGGCCCCTTGTGGCCTCGGCCACGACAGCCGTCAGCCCAGATTCTGTGAGACGCCCACTTGCGGTTCCCAGTCCGCCC